GGTACTGGGGTGAGGTGAGAAGGGGAGGGAAAGGAAATCAAGCCTAAAACTATTTCTCTAACTATTGAAGAGTGGCTTTTCATCCCTTTTCTTGGAGGTTTCATTAAAATGTGTGAATGCCTTTTTTCCGAAGAGTTTTTAAGTGTCTTTTTGTACTAACAGTACAGCAGACATCACAGTCCTATGGGGAGCACCATAGAGGGTGTGGCTGCAGGTGCCTAGGAAAACAAATCCATGGAATATGTCTCTTTGTCACCACCTAAATCTTTTGTCAGGTGCAAGTTGGTCTCTTCTAGAGGAGCACTTGGGAGGTCTGGCAAGGCCATGAAGGCTTGGAACTTCCCATTGCCAGGTCTCTATTCCTCCAGACTGCTCAGCTCCTTCTCTGTGCCCAGCAGTCCCCACAGATATAAAAGGGCAGTTTACATCCCCTGCCTTTTAAAAGCACTGTGCAATTCATTGGCTGTTATTTTTCAGCATGTGGAGGGACAAGGAGGAGAACCAAGACAGGGCTAAGCCAAGGATGGCCAAGGATAGCACTGGCCTTGGGGGGTACCACTGAGACTCCCCTGCATCAGCAGCATTCAGGCCTGTTTACCCAGCCTGCCCTCATCACAAATCTTGTATTTCCAAATGAATATTTTAACGGAAGGGAATTGTGTAGATTGTTAGTGTAGCTTATTAGGTTTTAAAAATTCATGTTTCTAAATTCCCAGTATTATTTTCCCCTTGCTTTAAATAAAAAAAAAAAAAAAAAGAAAAAAAGAAAAACGGGGAGGGAGGAATCTCTTTACAATAGGAGTTTAATTGTCTGTTTTATCTGGAAAGCCCTCTGAATTGAAACTCCCTTCTCCACAGTGCTACCTGAGCACTTCACAATTTTATTCTCTTGAAGTGTCTATTTTACCATTTGTCTCACTTTCAAGCTTTTAGCTAGAACTGGACATTTGTGGCCAGACAAAGGAATTTAAACTAAGTAGCGTGTTATGGACGACTTCAGGTGACTCTGCTTGGATTCTGTCACTCTGACACTGCAGCAGCTAAAGCAAAGGGCATTAACACGAGTCTATTGAATGCAGACCTGCAACTGAGATGAGAGAATTTCACTGCATTTCCCATTGCGTCTTTCTAATGACCTTACCCCTGTGTTTGGGAGATGCCTGAACTAAGGGAATTATTTTATCTTTTTTTGGTTTTATTTTAAGTTCCTAGAGAAAGATGTTTATGTATCAGGAAATGATACGTTTAACCTGCAGGGTCTCAGGATATGGGAATTTGGTCTTCTGCCTCATTTCATTACCAGCTTGGAGCTTAAGCTTGAAAATGGAGTAGACTTAGTGATATTTCTGGTGTGCCAGATGGGGCTGCCTTGTAATATGTGGTGAGGACAGACACCTGAATCTGGCAGGTTTTGCAGTAGGGGACAATAATGAATATGAGGGGGTAAATCAGTTAAATGACAGCTAATTCCTCACCAAAAACTCAAAGAGCCACTGGACTGGAGGTGCTGTAGGACTGTGAAGCAGTAGCTGCCCCAGAAGCGCCTTGTGCTGGCAGACAGGAGTACCAGCACTAGGAGGGAATTTGGGACATAAAAGCCCTCTGCTGTTACTGTCAGTACTCAGGTAGGTTGCTGGAATGCCCCTTCCAGTGCTGCTTAGAACCAGTCCAGAAGGCATAAAATATGCTAAGCAGCTGTTAAAGGGGAAAAAATAACATGTGGCAGAGGATATGCATAAAAATATATAGAAGACACTTCTGATGGGAATGTGAAATGTGCCATTTTTCTGTTTGTGGTGCTGCCGAGCGCTGTAGCTGTGCTGGTGGCAGGGCTGCAATAGGGTTGTTTTTCTATTAAGGGCAAACAAAATGAGGGTAAAATTTTAAGTTGAGGAATTTTCTGCTGCTGGAAGGCAAATTACTACACGCACTACTACAAAAGAGCAGGGGTAAACAATACAATATGCTGGGAATTGCAGATGCGTGTGCAGGAACGCCGTGAATACATTAACTGCCCGTGTTGTCAAGGCAAGTGACAGCAGCTGACTGAAATCCAGAAAGGGGCTCCTGTCAGCGCAGCCCTCGCCAGGGCAAAGGCACATCGCTCCTAATAACAAAGTCTATTCCGTTTACATCTGACACGGGGAGCCAGAGCCTCTTGTTTGGGGAGTTTTATTTATTTTGACCCAGGGAAGTCCGCTGAGCTGCTCCGTCAGGCTCCAGCCTCCTGCCACGGCAGTTAGACAAACTCATCCACGCTGCTTCGCCAGGAGGACTGAGTTTTCTGCACCCCTCTTTCCTTTCAGTACATTTTTTCCCTCTCGCTGGACTTTACTGTAGGAAGGACAAAAAGAAAAGCACAAGAGTAAATAAAGAAAGCACTTCTTGGATGCTCCAACCATTCGTGAAGTTATTCCATGAGGGGCAGCGAACCACGGAAGTCTGTAGTACTTTTTTGCCTACAGTCTGCACCAATCTGTGCAGAAAAGGGACTGCACAGCCCCAACTTTCTCTTTCCTTCTGCTTTCCTTCTTTCCTTCTCTTTTCCCCAGGAAAACCCTTCAAAGGCCAAACCAGTAGATTTAGTCCATGTCCCAGTTTGATTAAGGTAGGTCTGTAGGTGACTTACCCTGGGCTGAGCATATCCAAGGCAGGAAGGTAAACATCCCATTGTGCTGGATTTGATGAAAGAAAATCCTGGAAAACGTTGTGCTTTTCTAAGAAAACTGCCAGAGGCAGATTATTAGGTCTGAATTAAAATGCAGACGAGATTCATTAAATTGTTGACCCTGCCCCCTCCAAAAAAAAAGTCAGGTTGCCATCTTAAATTGACAGCATTAGAGACAAATTATGTGCACTGATTAATAAGTGTGGGCTAAATTACGGCTCGGAGAGCGGGCGGAGCGCTGTGGGAGCAGGAGCGAGGGAAGGAGCGGAGGAGGCGACAGCCATCCTGCCTGTGGGCACAGAGCAGTGCCAAGGGGTGGGGGGCCTTGTGGCACCAGAGGTGCAGAGGGGGACAAAGGAGCAGGAGGAAGGAGCTGAGCCTCCTCCAAGGAACCTGTTCCCTCTGTGATGGTGACCTGGCGCCCTGGTGCCAACGTGCTCCCTGGGACATCAGGGAGCACGTGGGGATGTGTGCTGAGCTCAGGGACTGTGCTGCCCCTTTTCTTTGGGGTAGGGGGAACTTTTCATTAAAAAACAAGGGAAAAAACCCACCCAAATCTTGGAAGAGTTGGATTTAAGAAGTTAAATAAGAAAGGTAGGGTAAATTGGAGACTTGAGAAGCTAATTTCCATCGCATTGGTGGAAAAAAATACTGACCATTTCACCATCTCGGACAATAAAAAAAGGGAAAAAGCAGGCATAATAATATGTATATTGCTCACAAGACATAATTCTCTGAGAATACTATGACTGGTATATAAATAGCAGAATGAATGTTATTAACATGTTAATTTTACTAACCCTTTAACCTATTGATTAGCCAAACAGAAGGAAACAGCATCTTTTCATGCTTCGTCCCCCCCTTGCCTTTCATGTAATTGGATTCAAATTCACATCTGTAGCTACTAAACCAATGTTTTCAACCTTTCTTCTGCACCTCCCCACCCCCAACTGTTTAACCTCCCTTCTCCAGAGCTGGCATAAATGTAAGCCTTTATTTGTGAATATTCCGATAAGCACTTTGCCTCCAACTATATTGTTCAAGTACCAGCATCATTGTTACAGCTGTAATTGTTACTATCAAGACACAGTTCTTTGTAATTAGAAAGTCAAGATGGTATTCAGCAGTATGGCAGCACAGATTCTCATTTGTTAGGCTATTAGAAAAAAAATGTTTACAGAGAAAACAGTGTCATTGTTTAGTGCTCTTAATTGACCATCTGCCTGGTAAAGAAATGTCCAAAGAAGGATAAATAAGACTATAGTGCACTTATTTATTTATTTTCTTTGTGCAATGAGTAAATTAGGAAAAGCAACAGCAGATCCAAACTAGACAAGACATTGCTAAATCAGGCTGCAAGTGAAATCATGTCATGAATACATTAACTTTTATTTCTCTCAGTGTCAAGACTCATGTCTGCATCTTCCTCAAAGTTTGTTGGGAAGAAAAAGGAGGCCAGATCTTGGTGGGCACTGTGGAGTTGACAGCATTCATCTTTTAACAAAGTCAAGCATATGCTGCTTTGAGTGCAGCATCTTTGCATGCTCAATGACGTGTTTAATGTCACCTTTCCCACTGTAAATCATCCCTGAGTAAATCCACAAGGGAGAGTGGTACTAGGAATTAAGCAGGAGAGAAATAAAATTCATGACCATGTGGTTCTATCTCAGGGAATTTGGTACGTATTGACAAGAGAGATTCACACCTGACGGGGCCGAGAGCTAATTTGTAGTAGGGCTGTTTATCTTCTGCCTGAAAGGAATACTTTTTCATATTTAATGTGCATTTTCCTCATCTCCATGTGTGTATGTGTTTGTGATTTAACGTGGCTAAGGGTGCATCTGGTGCTAAGGGTGCATTTTTGCACTTTTGCTGCTTGGCAAAAAAGTAGTTTCAAATTTCGGGATAATTCAAAATTCTGTGTTTTCCCTATGAAAAAGTAAAGGAGGGGCAGTTTGGCCTTCCAAAACCAGGTCTGATGTTTTCATTGCACAAGGCACTGTCTTAGGTAGGCAGTATTTGATCTGTTCTTGTAGCATTTGTTTACAGTTTTGAAATGAGAAATGAAAAAAAACCCATGAGTATTACCATGCTAAACCAATATGGTAAATGACCAAACTGATCTTTTGTACTATTTGTCTTCCAACATTCCAGGTGGAAATAATCCACTGCATTTATATGTTGATTTATTACAGTGTGGAGGTAAAAAAAGAACACCTAAAAACAAACCATAGAGAGAAGCAATAGGGAAAAAAAAAGCAGAGAAAAGAGAAATTAATTAAAAAAGTAAGGATTACGTTTAATAATGATTTCTCAAAATATTACCTTCCAGGTTTGAAAGGCACCAGGACACCTGCAAGAGGAGCCCCAGTTGTGCCTCCTCCATGATGAGGCTCATACAGAGGTGCAGCCCCTCAGATGGTGACAGGGGGAGAGCAACCAGTGCCCTCACAGCACTGTCACTGTGTGTGACAATGGTCATGAAGCAGGTAGGTAAAACTTCCCAATACTTAAAAAGCTGACAGTGTTTTAGCCATCAGTTCTTCCACGGGAATTTTCTTTCCATAAAACCTCTCCTTTGATGTCTTCACCCGATGCCTCAGTGCATCATCCCTTGTCCATCTGTTCCCTACTGAAACCTTCCTTTTTTTCATTTCCCCTGATTGCTGTGCTAAATAGTGATCCTAGTAATTTTTGTTTCTTTTTCTTCCCTGATATTTACTCTTTTTTTTTTTTTTTTTGAGTTTTGAAGGAGTACCTCAAAATCTTGGTTTCCTGCCTGATGGCTTTTGAGGAGGGATGGTAGCTAAAGGAACCTAGCTCATTTTTCTTAAAAAAAACCCCAAACAACAGGTTTGCCTCTAAACTTAGAATTTTCTTATTCTCCCATTTTTGGAGATCTTTCATTAGTACCAACTGCATTTTTTCAGAAAGCAACAACCCACATTTTTTAATTTTTTTTTGTTTGTTTGTTTTTTTGCCTTCCAGTAGGGAATATAATGAATATAATAACTTCCACCAACAGGTGCAGGAAGGTGAGAAGTGCACAGGGCTTTCAGGGTACTGCGCCTTTTCCCTGTCCTAAAGCCACACAGATTTGTGAGGTTCAAGGCCTTTCTTTGATATCTTCTGAACTGGAGCCTACAGAAGTAGACATCCCACCCTACCAAGCTGGAAAAGCCTGCTCAGACATCCTCCTGCTCGAGCATGCTGGTGTCCCCATCCACACTGCCCGTTTCCTCAGTGCTGTACTGGTTTGACAAATGTTTAACAATGACTTCTTGCAGGTGCCTTTACAAACTGCACCTGTACCTGTTTCCCCAGCGCTGGGGCTGTGTGCTGGCACCTCACCTGTACGTAGAGCCCGCGTTTCACCTGAGTGTGCTTCTGTGCACCGAGCACAAGAGGCGGCTCAGAAAGCTGTGATTGACACCAGTAGTTGGAAGCTCATGCATGTCTAGCTACTTGTTCAATTTGTTTAGTCCAGTGGTCTCCTTTATTAGGCGCCTTAGGGTTTTTCTTTTGATTTGGCAGGGTGATTATAATGAGAGCTCCTTAGTGCTACTCCACCAGGGTATCTGCCCACTTGCTCTCAAGCCTCTGCTGTATAGCTTGTGATTAATGTAAAACAGTCAGATGCCCTTCAGATCAGTCGAATTTGGGGATTCTATTACAAACATGAAAAGCGTGCTGACCGCACAAAGCCCTTGGTGGTACCAATTAAAGACAGCGTCATTCACTTGGCACTTCTCATGCCGCTGCTTTTTTTTTGCTTTTTTTTGCTTTTTTTTTTCCTTATCCTTTTCACAGCAAACCTTCCCTGGCAGTGGTGGCCCCTCTGCCACCGTGCACCTGTGCCACGCTCCGGCCCCAAGGCACAGCTTCCTCGGCTAGTGGGGAAACACCTTGCTTCCCCCTCTCTCTGCCCAATTTCTGTGCCCCTCAGCTAGTCCTCCATCTGGCCAGACGTGAGCGATGGGATTTGAGTACAATATCTCCTCATGTCATCATGCAGGGATGGGAAGTGCTGCCTGGACTGCCCCCAGCAGAAAGCCCCGTGGTGTCCCTTCCCCGCTGGTGCAGAGGCTCCGGGCTGCCACCGCAGATCATTTGACAAATTTCACGGTAAGACCCCAGCTTATCAGCATTATCTTTTTATTCCAGTCAGTATTCCAAGTATTCCTTGAATGTCACAAGTGAAGAGCTGGATTATACACAAAGTGTCCAGTGTTAAATCCTATTTACATGCAAAAGTTGTGCCAGCTTACCCTGAGGTTAAATCAGTGCAAACCCCTTCTGTGAGGACTCTTCTAAACTAATGAGAATGACCTCCTATAATTTCTTTAATTAAAGAACAACAACCACCTAAATCAAGATAAAACATGCTTCATATTAAATAAGGTTGGCCAAGCAAATGGGTTTGCCTTGCTTGAAGTGCTGACTCCACTTTTTGCACAGACTGAATTATCCAAGTGTTTTGGACAGAGCAAATCTCAGCTCTGGTTTCTGGCTTTCTGCAGCAGGGAGGGAGGGGGTGTCACACCTGCCCCCACCAAAGGCAACAGAGGATTTGACCCTACCTGTGAGGTGGCCAAGGTCTCTGTCCAACACACACATTTTATGTTAAATCCCTTGCACCACATTTGATATTCCACAAATCCTTCCCAAGTGTCTGGTTGAAAGTGTTTTTTTTTCATGAAAGTTACTCCCCCGTCCAGTGCTCTGTGTTTGTCAGAAAGGAATAAAACTGCACCATATAAAAGCAGAGAGAAAAATCCTTTATTTCTGAAATTTTATCTTTCAGAGTCAGGTTTGTTTGGTTTTGGGTTTGTTTTTTTTTTGCATAAGGCTTTTCATAAATCTAAGGTCTTGTAACTTTGATCTATTCACCCTCTGCCTACAACATAGACTCCAATTGCACCTCTTACTTAATGGATTATTAGGAATTGAGGAATCCTCGTGTAAAAAGAACCCAAACAATACTGGTTTCTTATTTCTCTGATCATTTCTTTAAAAAAAAAAAGACTCTTAAAAGCTACTAAGATGACACTTTAAGTTGTGAAGGCAATAGCTTTTGCTATTTTCACTATTTCACTCCTTCCTTTCACTGCTGATTCAGGGAACTGCTGAGCACAGAATTGGTGTTGTTTCCATTCCAACAGCAACAATCTCATCTCAGCTCTTGTGAGCGTTGTTTATCTCAAGGTATCCCTTCTAATCCAGCTGTTTTCTAACTCTGTCCCGAGAGCTGGTTATTCAATGACTTTTCACAGACCTAAACCCTTCACTTGCTCAAATCACCTGCTCACGTAGGGATTGTGCCGCTCTTCCCATCCGTGCTCAGACCCTCCTGGAAGGGGCAAAGCCAACCAGAACAGTTGCCCTGTGAGGCTTTGGGACATCAGTGGTGTTCACTGCATCCATATCTTGCTGCAACCGGAACCTTATGAACAAAATCACCACAATTAACTCCAGCAGAAAATGTGCTGGAATCACTGGAATGTGATTTCTTTGCAATCGATATTATGGAGCTCCCACCGATCTTTTAATAATGTTTTATTCGTGGATGAAAAGATGCTGGTGTCCCAATGCATTCTATCCATCCATTCATGTTTAGACCTGTAAAGGAACCCCAAAATAATGGTAATGTTTGGTTGCCTGCTACATGTACACACTGGGCTTACTTGTATATAAATTAAACTGCATTTAATCCTGTTAAGCATTAAAACGTAAGCAAACAAACTGACTAACAAAATACAGTGGGGTGGCAAAAAAAGAAAATAAGCTCAGAAAATAATTGGTTCTAAGGAAGTTAATGAAAGTTTGTAGCATGCTTTTTATATGAATAGAGTTCAGAAGAGATTATTTTTTTGAAGTGTTACTCACAAATCTCCCGTATCCACAATAGATCTTTTGTTAACTGTACCTGCACATTTATTGTGTACGACAGTCTAATAAAATGAAGTCATTTTAATAAACATTGTATCAGAATATCCTATCTGCTATGTGGCACTGCGAATTTCCACTACTGAAGGAAACATTTAACATTCTCACCATTTTAATACTTTTAATAAATATTTGCAATTCCTCTGATAATGCATAATGGCAGAAAAATGCATTGCCTCCAAAATTTATGTGGCTGCTGGCAGGTGGCCATTTTCCAATTTTCTGTCTCGCTAATATACATTTATTATGTATTTCCGAGGGCTTTTTTTTTTCAGCTTTTGGCTTGCCATAAAATTACTATTTCTTTTACAAGAGGAAGCGCTCGTGACAAAGAAATTTCAATCGAACCTAAACCTGACAAATGGACATCTGCTGGCCAAACTGGAGAAGAAAAACATTTGCCCATCGTAGCTCTCAGTTTGATCCCTTCCTATCAGCTGAAGCCACAATATGTTTGGATCAGAGACTCATATTCTGAACTGATAACAAGAATCAGTTCTCACTTAGTAATATTTTCTGAAGTGTGACACTGCATTGCATCATGTTATGCATGACATGACACGAAATAACAGAACATTACATGATGGGTTATGACATAGGGAAGTAAAATGCAAGTTAATATTATGCATTACATTTTATTTTTTTTTCTAAATTGTTGGATCAGAGCACATGAAGAGCTGTGAGTGGTCTCTTCTATGCTGGCTTTATACAACAGCCATCGATAGAGTACCTGAGCACCACCAGCAGATAATTAAGCCTCTATTGATAGCTGAAATCCTTGAATCTCTCAATGAGCACATATCGTTCTCTGTATTTAAGTAGCAGCATTCATTTGAAGAGCAAGGGAGCAGTGACTAAGTATGAAACCTAAACAGGCAGTAAGAAGTGGTAACACTACAAAGATGATACATTCTTATCCTCGAAATGGAAGGAAGCTGATTTTGTGAAACTCTTTATGGCATTCACAACAAAGCAGAGGATATCCTGTGTCACAGAGCATGTGCTTCTTGAAGATCCTTTCTGGTAGCAAATGATGCTCAGAGAGTGTGATTTGTTATCAGGGAGCTATTTACGATGGCCAAGATAGAAGGGCACTGAATAAATATCTATAGCTCTCAGAAACTGAGACATGATGGTGCAATAGATGGAAAGAAATATCTCAAATAAGCAGAGGAACAGAACCTCCCTACCAAAGGTGACTGCAAATGCAATAGCTTTTTCTCTTGTTTTATTTTTTCAAATCTGTGAAGCAACAGGATAATCCACATTAATAATATACTGTATGTTATGTTTTACAATAATATGCTTTGATTAAACTAATTCCTGGAATGATAAATGCAAAGGAGACAGACTGCCCTGTGTCTGTGCTCACAACAACAGGAGAGGTAGATTTGTCTCATCAGATATTGTTAAATATTCTCAAAAAAAAAAAAAGAACTTCTTGGCCATAAAGAAGGAAGTAGCAAAAATATGGTTCACTTTGCACCTTCCACACACTTCATAAAATCAGGGAGCATCAGTGCTTTGTCAGCACCTCAAAGAAGGCACTGATGAGAGGGTCTTTGACCTAAAAAGGGACAAGACTACAGTTAACTGAGCAACTGGACTGGCTAATGTGCAAAAGATTTAATCTCTAATTTGCTGGGGAATTATGGGCACATTGCTTCATTATCTGCATTTTTGGTTTTCCCTTTACTTGGCCTATCTTGGCCCCAGCTCAGGAAAGAATCACTATTTGCAAAAGGTGCTTACTGGACCTAGTGGGAATGTTTCAGTGTTTTCCTGAACCAGTCCTGGAGATCCTGCAGAACTGGATATGGAGAAGGCAAAGGCACATTTTTCACTGATGATCATGCCAGGACTAAAATTGTAGTTTGGAAGTGATCAGGTAGAAATTTTCTGTTGAAAATTAACGTGTCTAATTCTTTTTCAAGAAAAGCACCCATTTATCTATTTTGAAACTAATTCAACTGAATTGGGTGCAAATTTGTAAATTCTCACCAGAATTTCTCAGAAATTACGGCAACCTTCAATATCTGCCAAAAAATATAATAAATTTTATTAAATAGTATTATATAATTATCTAAGATATAAATTTATACATTTATTTTATAGATAGTAAACAATTGGTAAAATATACTAATAAATATTCTATACATACACCTATCAATAATTTGTGAACTATTAATTATTAATTACTTGCTAATTAATAATCAGCAATATGTTAGCTGTTAAGTAATTGTTAATTAATAATCAATAATTTGTTAGCTATTAATAAATATTATGACTATTTTATGCAAATGTGTAGTAATACTTTTTACCAATTATTTGCTATCTATAAAATAAAATTATGGACAAATATTTGTACAGATCATTTATTATAGGGTGATTTCTTATAGGGATCATACATTATAGGATATTACATAATACAATCTCCTCTCTGTTTATTACATAAAACAAATAGAAATATATAATTAGTATTAGGGATTCAAGAGAAAAAAAGCCATGATTTTTCTTGGCAAAGGATAATATTCAAATATTGGGGTGAACAGATGAAGGGTCCTTTTAACCCTCCTCCTGCCACTTAGATTCCTGCAAAGTGTAGACTTTCTACATACTTTTTGTTTTTTGTTTTTTTTTTGTCTAATTGATTTCTTCCTGAATTTACAGCTATGCTGCCTTTTTAGAACTGCTTTGCAGACTTGCTCCCATGTAATATTTGGTTGTGATTAATCCATCTCACACTAGAGAACTGTCCGTGCTTTGTTTGCATTTGTTTTGTTAAGTGGAGGACACGTCATTAAGTTTTTGTGTGGCTCATGTTCAATGTGGGTTGATAAGAACCAGATATTTGAAGAAATGGAGATTAAAGATTTCCTGTCCCCTCATGGCCAGCTTTCTCTTAGATGAAATGAAGGATACAAGGGAGTGATACAATCATTTCTCTACCAGTATCTACTGTATCAGTGGGCTGAATCTTAGCATTTTTGATAATGATTGTCTTCCAAGAAGAATTCATGCATAAGTATTTCTTACTCTTGCTGCTGATTTCATCCATGTCAGTGAGTTTGTTCTGCCTGCAAAAGATTTCTCAGAAGTAACTTTTCCTTGCAAAGGGTGGCCTTTAAAAAAAGGAAAGAAACCAAACGCAACAAAACCAAGCAAAGGAAAACACCTGACAACAGGGAAAAACCGTGGCACTTCCCCATGAATCTTCTTAAGCTCATACATTTTATAAGTATTTAATGTGATACCTTGTAGGAACAGACAGCAGCAGGTGACTGCAATAACTTTGAAGAACAGCTTTTTCCTGTCACTTCTCTTCCAGTGTGGCCCAACATGTTCCTAACAGATACCGCTTGCACAGCATCCCCATTTCTCTTAGGAAAATCAGTATAGATTGGTAATAAAGCATGGCAATATACAATTAAAAATTAATAGCAAAATGATTACATTATTCTCTTCTAGCAGCAAAAAAAACCCCTCCAACCTACAACAAAGGCCTTTAAAGCACTTTGGCTGTTTTCCAAAAGAGTTGATTAATACTCCATGCAGAACGACTGCTGTGATGCTATTGCCAGGCAGGAATTGCTGACTGTCCGTCGAGGAACCGGGCAGGTGGCAGGGAAGGAAGGCTCTGCTCCACATCCCGGTGCCCTCGGCACAGGAAAAGCTGTTCAAATGGCAGCAGCATGGCAAGGCAGTCCTTTAGATGATTGGAATAATCTGTGACATTCAAAACCGAGACACAACGCGTCGGGAAGCCTAGAGAGAATGGAGTTGCTTTCCTCAAGCCCAAAACAAAGGCTTTGCAATGTTACATATATTATTCTGATCACAAAAGTCTCTTGCATTAGGGCTTTCAGTGTGAGATAATTGACCTTGACATTGCTTTCAGCTGAGGGTACATAACTCTTAGTGCAGTGACTTACCTTGAAGAAAACTGTGCAACTGCAAAGAATATTTACTTACTATCTTCTCTTTTTTTTTCTTTTAATTCTTGAAAACTGTGCTCTGCAAGGACAAGTAGGCAGAAGTGTAGTGAGGGATGGAAGGTATTTTATGTGGATGAACACATGAAGAGGTGATTATGTATTGCTAAAAGTCTAATCCCTGGATAAACTACAGTTTGCTATTAATTCTTTGGACTTGCTTAGCTGCTACTTAACATTTCCACGACTTAACAATTATATTCTTGAGCTAAGAGTAACTTTTCAACAAAATGTGTAGGGATTAGAAACATTGATAATTATATTAATTAATATTAATGGGAGTGACAATATTTGTAGTCATATGACAAACATAAGGAAAGCAGGGCTTTAATTTTATCAATTAATTCTCTTTCTAATTGCTTTCACTATTCAATTGTCAGAACGTGTTCTACTTGCAAGAAGGAATGTGTTAAGCAGGCAAAACACAGACCAAAATTGAGGGGAAAGAGGGCTGTGTATTTGTATATGGTATCATCTGCTATCCAGAAACATACTGAGCCTTCTCTCTGGGCTTTGGATTTTCCACCCTCCATTTATAATAAATGCCAATCATCTGGAGTAATGGGCTCAGTCTCATTGAGATGGGTTAGTAGGCAGAGAGGCCATGAGGAGCAGGAAATGCCACTGATTGAAGTGCTCTCCAAATTATCAACTGTCCTTCTTCCCACACCTTCCCAGAGGTGCAGGATGAGCACAGGACAGCAAGACAAGCAGACCTTGGAAAAGAGAGCTCAGTGCATATGTCTATACTGACTCCTCAGATTTAATACATTGGATTCCATCAAAGTCATCTCTAGAGGAAGTCAGAGAGCTGCAGTCCATTGGCCTTAATCCTTCCCTGTGCTCCCGTATCTTTATACTGCTCCACCAGCTCCACACCGCCGTAAAACCAACACAATCCACCCTCCACGCTCCCTGGTGTGAGGGAAATCCCTCACCAGGTCCCTTGCTGAGCACTGCAGCTGCCACAGAGCCTTCCTGGCAGCGGGAGGAAGGCAAACCCCTCCCTGCAGATGTGTCCAGTGCGGTGGGATGATGCTCCTGCTTGGTGTCCCGACAGGCTGGGGATGTGCAAACCCCACTAAGGGTGGAGGTGTGAAAGTCTTCACGTCCTGAAACCAAGATTTCAGCCCAGAAGGAAATCTTAATGTGCTCAAGTTTCCCTCTGCACAGAGCCTCCACCACGCAGCAATCCAAGAGGCCAATAAAACAAATAATGACTATCTCCTGGGGCAGCTGCAATAAAAAAATGCTGCCAGCTAAGAATGGTGCCTTTGATGGCTCTGCAGGCGAGATATCAACGATCTCTACAGCTGCTAATCCCCTCGCGTGGTTTTACACTGCTGCCCTTACAGCCTGTGCCCAGATGCTCTGTGCAACATTTTGGGGTCTGCTTTTCTTCTCAGCTCATCCCTCCTCTGGTCCACCTCAGGATTACACCCCTGTAAGGCAGTGAGTTTCTCACCAAGCACTGCATGTACAGGAGAAGGAAGCTGTCACCCAGCACATGCTGCTCTAGTGGCCTGTGGCTGCTGCCAGCTAACCTGGGAGCAGTTGCTGCCTGCTTTCCTTAGTTCTGTGGGTGTTGAGCTCTGGAGTGGGAGAGAAAGTGGTCTGGGGAGTCCTCACCAAAGTCCCAATGAATAAAGGGGGACTCACTGATGAGGATGAGGGAATACCCCAAAATCTCTTCCTTTTTGTGGGCTGGAGACTTTGCCCATCCCATTCCCCCTCCTTGAGTTAAGCCAATGCTGATCCCAAGCATATTTGCATCTATGCTTATTTTCAGGATAAAATCAGGGAGCACAATTCCATCTTGTTGTGCCAGCCACATCATTGTCAAAAGGCGTTCAGGAGATTCAGATCTTTTGTGCTGCTATAAAGGTTGCTTCTTCCCCATGTCCTCATCAGGGGACAGAGTTCAGAATTAGTCCTTTTGTGTTTATTTCCACTACTCCGGGATGGACCAGGAAGCCTTTGCTTTTCCCCATCAGGAAGCAGAGATTTAATGTATCGAACGCACCAGAATTGCTTAATGAGTGCTCAGTGAATATTAATAAAAGTTTGGACGTGACTCAGGCTACAATGGCTGAGAAGTTTGAAAGCTTTGGTTCAAGATTACAGAAGGCTGTGAGAAAATATGGTATCCAGCAGCTAGCATATAGTGCGGATATTTCACTATCCAGGGATCTCTAATTACTAATAATGTACAGGAACAGTATGATATGTCCTTACAATTGCAGAATCCTTTTCAAAGATAATCTTTAATAGTTTATTTGACAACCTGTAAAATTATAGAAAATTATTAGTCTTGGGAATTACAAAAATCCCCGTAGTACAGTCAAACAATAAAATTATAATTACCTGTGGGTAATTGAAATTTAACTGTTTTTTTATTGTATATTACACATCAATAGCAACATAAGTTCAAGAGTGTCCCCCTCCCCTCCCTTTTCTTTTCCCTACAGAAATGGGGAAAATGGACAACCCTGCTGGTAGCTTGTGAGCCCTTGTCACAGAACAGAGCTTGAACAATTTCGATTAAAGCAGTATGTTCGAGACTGTCATTAGACCTGCATTAAATTACATATCTGGAATGTTAAAAATAAAGAGTACTGAAGCTTATTCACAGCTGCCTGTCGTAAAGTATGCAGTCAAGGTTTTTATTATCTTTAAAGTTCTTATTTTTCTCTTTTCTAAAACTTATTGTTTCATCAAACAAATATCTAGCACATTTAAGAACAGTATGAGCACACGAGCAGAATTGCTCGAGATGGATAAAGCATTAGCGTGTTTCCATTCTGTGCTCAGTAGTATTGTTTAGTACTAACAATGGTAATTTATCAATTATACACGAGGGAACAAAGCCCTTCACCATCTCACAGCTCCAGAACTACCTATTACAAGGCCCAAAGCTTGAGACCCCTCCCAGACCTTGTGAGGCACCATTTAGCGTTAGAATTTGCAGTACCAGGTTTTGCCTTGTCCTCTCTCAGTGACCCCATGGAGGCTGCTCAGTACTCAGCTCCATGGCACATCAAGACTTTCCTAAACCAGGAAAATTATAACCTTTTTTTTTTTTAATTTTCCTTCTGAATCAGGGCTTTTGATACAGGCACAAAGGTTCACAGCCTGCTCTTGTCTAGTTGGTGAGACCGTCCAGTCCCTCTTGTGTGATTTGCGGTGGCATTGCAGACTTTGAGAACAATCTGAAGGACAAACCCCAAGCTGTTTGGATGCTGCTCAGCCCCAAATACGGTATGTTTGACAATTAATTGTCTATGGAGCAGCTTTGTTATACACTACTAAGATGCACAAAATCTTCTACAGAAGGATCAGACTGGCTACTTTTATTTGATTCTGTAAAGTGCTTTGTGATCATTATGTGACTATAACTGCACAAGTGAAAATACCTCTGTTTTATTAGGAGTTTCAATTAAAGTGTTTAATACACAGATTTTATCGTGAGAGAGGCATCACAAAGACTGAGTGCAACATAATGGCGAGCCAGGTATTGTTATGATTATCATTACTATTATTTATGTATAATCATTGAAGTATTAACTGAAAACTGGGAAATGGAGTTCCTGAGTCCCAAAGAGCTCATAGTAACAGCTTCTTGTGGAGAAGACAACAATAGCAAACCAGCTCTGCTTCATGGCACAATTAATGGTGCATGCAACCCAGGTTGGAAATTCCTGATCCTGCATGAGTTTTCCTGTTTTCAAAGATCAGAGAAGGTAAAAAAATGCAGTTGGATCCCACCTTTTTTATTTTGGTGCCTCTTACTCTTCCCACCACCTCTTTTTTCTGCCTGTTGGTGAAGGGCATCCCTGCACGTCAGGACTGTGATGCATCTGTTTACCCAGCAAAGCAGCTGGAAACTTCTCATCAAAGTGGGTTTATTTGGATGCCTTTAGAAGGGAGAGATATTTTGCCTCCCTCACTTGTCCTTCTCATTGGAGATTTTTAAGTGTCTTGGCCTCCTAAAAGCTAAAGTGGAGCTTTCAATTTAGATTTAAACCGAATATAAATCTTTCAAAAGGGGAAACCCCAAGAGGGACTGTATCCTCAGGGCTGTTAATGGGCTGAGCTGCAGCAGAGGAGAGACAGGGCTGGCCCAAAATCATGGTCCTTGTGCCAAATAGCTGTGACCTCATGCAACACACCAAGGAGATGCAGCTGAGAGGTTGGTTTGGCTTTGGCTGTTTCCTAATCTTGACCCCTTGAGCAACACCTGAAATCTAGGGGAAAGTTTTTCTCCATCCTTACCTCGACCCTCATTTCCTGGCAGATTCCAGCTGCTGAGCAAAACCGCCCTAAAAAAGAAGCCAGAGAGCTGTTGTCCAGTAGGATTTATATAGATGGGATACTTGGAAGCTAAATCTTCCAACCACTACAGTGCACCATACTGTAAGACAAAGAGCAGGAGATAAATTTTCCTGCCTTTGAAATTTCTGCTCATGTCACTCTCTGGGGCTAATTTTTACCATTTTGTCTCCCGTGAGAAGAGCTATTCCGACGTGAGTGTCTTCTCTGCACTGCAATGCAGGGATGGAGCTAAGGATGAGCAATGGGAGTACTGTCAGGATTACAGCCAGGTCAGATTTTTCATTTTGCTAAAAGTCACTTCTTTGACACAGGAATCAGGAAAATACATTGATGCAACATGTTGAAAAGAATGAAAAGGTTGTTATTTGCTCCTACCAATATGATTCAAATAGAGAGACCCAAGCCTTATGGTAAAGGGAGAAAATGTCTTCCAACAAAAACACAAACTTTGACACTGAGTACAATATAATGCGAGGGCCTAAGAGGGGTTTTGGGGAGCTCCTCATGGAAAGGGAGCTTTCCATGGGCTTTTTTTCTCCTGTCTGTAGGGTGAGCACATGCATGTTTATGTAAAGAAGGATGCAAGCTTCCAAATAAAAAAAAAAGGGGTGGTGGTGGCTATTTTTCTTTCTCATGGATGAGGTTAGAAGGTTAATAAAAGAGTTAATCCCAGCCCACTCTGCAAAAGGGAACAGCTCACATTCGTGAGACTTTAAAAGGCTTCAGAGTGTCTGTGTATGGATGTTGTTATTTTCTGTCAGGGCTATCCCAAGAAGACGGAGGTCAGGAGCTGTTTTTTGGAAGAGGAGTTTGTCCATTAACTAAATCAGCTGGAGTGGAAATAAGGTTTGTATAAAATGGTTTTGAGAGTAAACTCCAATTCAGTAAAGCTCTGGGTTTTTGTTTTTTTTTTTTTATGAGAACATAAAATTAAAACTTAGTTCAGAGCAGTGGAGGCCAACCAGAACATCTCAACCAAATGACCCAGAGAATCTGGTTGGCTTTTTTTAAATTAAAATAAAAATCCATTAACATGAATTTAACTTTAAAATATGTGAATGGTTTGAAAGATAAAAAAATTAGTCAACTTAGGAAACATTCAGCAAATTACAGCACCAGGCAGTGATTTACAAGGAGATCTGCATGTCCATTTGCTTTGCAGCATTGAGGGAATGCTTATTGCACAGCATAGAAAATTACCTCAGGCCTTGTTGGGCTTTTCTGGAGAAATATATACCACAGTCCGGGTTACTGATATCCCTCCATGCCTTGGTGTCCCCCTGCACAGCTGAGGGTCCGTACTGAGACACAGTGTAAATGTTATAGTCGATATCCCTTGGTAGAGAAACTGCACTGCAATTTCTTTTTTCCTACTTTCCTTCCTTTTGCACGAGGCTCCTGAGCTACCAGCTAACCATTTCCTATAAGAAAATGGCATTGTGTTAAAGTTATATAGTGTATCATATTAAATTTTATAACAGTGCTTTGTGTTTTGAAAAGACTTTGGGGGGAAACAGCATCAATCAGGGAACCACATTTGATAGACTTGGAAGGGGCCTCCTGGGTCATTTTGTCCAAGACCTCTATGAAACAGGAAGGCTTCTGCAAAATACCTTTCCCATAAATGTATCTAACCTTTCCTTAAAGACACTGAGTGATTGTGCCATAAATACCTCAAGCAGCTAAACTAGTCTGATTGACCTTACGATCAGTAAGTGTCTCCTAATACTGTACAGAAGGTACAATTTTCCATTCTTTCAGCCGTGGCTAAGCAAGAAAAAAGGGCAAATACACAGTAATGGGCAACAATACAGACTGTGCAAACAGTTTTGCTTTCACTTTACTGCCATCAGCTACCATAAATCTGGATGTACCATTGATACTTGGTTTCCCAGTGTAGTGTCTGTGATCCTTGTAGTATCTATCTCACTTTGACTCTGACTTTTGGAGAGCCACCATTACAGGGTGCAGAAATAAGGAAGACGTATGAGCAGCACTTTCCGATTCAGAAAACCATTCCAACCTGATGCCAGTAGTTAAAGTATTTATTTCTATCTTCTATTTATTAGAATTTGTGAGTTGTTTCTTGTCAGGACCATGGGAGCGAGGGGAAGCACAGGGCTTTCTATGGTTCCATCAGAGTGTCAAGGAATAATTTTCATTCTCCAGTTCCAACAATTGTGCATATTGAAAAATAAATACATGGTAGTTTAGCTGTTTGTTGTGTGCAGCAGAGCCTTGTGTGCTGGTTCTGCCCCACACTGCTCTGCCTTCTTTCTCTCAGTGAATATTAGAAGTGTCGTTTTGGGTAGATGTGTTATTAAATCACACAGTCATTGCTGAGAGCTTCCTGAGCTGCACATAAACCATCTTTGGCTTGGGGTTTTTTGTCTTATTTTCTTTTCTGCAAGCATTGAAAGATGGTGAGAGAGCTGAAGGCCAGTTCTCAAACACCTATTTTCATCAAGTATACACTTACTTGTGGAGAGGGGTTGTCTGATGGTGCCCCTCTCACCTGACTGACCACTACCTGGGCACAGGAGAAATTTAGACACCCTTCAGTGTCCTCGTGCAGCTCCCAGGGAAAAGCATGTCTTTAAAAGCTGAATATGCCACCTTGGTGTCTGTGAGACATTGATACACAAAGGAACAACCATCTCAGAGTCATACAGGTTTTATTGTGGTCACCAACCACTGCCTGAACACACAGAATCATTCCCAAAAGAGACACTGGGAGCTCCAGTAAAAGCTGGGACAAAGACTGTCTTATCTGATGCCCAGCAGAAAAAAAAAAAGGCTTATAAGAATATTTCACTCCTGACCAGCAGAAGTGTATTTCAGACTAACTGAGGAAGACTCCAGAGGAATTTCTTCTTCAGAAGATGAGAGAAAAAGGTTTTACAAGGTTGAGGCATCCTCAGCTTGGTTTCAATGTCCATTCACTGTTCTGGGTTAGATCAGGCTGCTTTTTTTATTTTATTTTTTGTTTGTTTGTTTGTTCCAGAGTTGTAGTTCTTGTACACAAAAGACTGCTGCAAAATGGGCCAGGAAAACTGGAGTTTAGTCCTAAAAGCAAAAGATAGAGAAAAGATAATTTAGAAAGAATATGATGATCCTGCGTTTGAAGACATGTTGGTAGCTCTGTATGTCCCTGCCCACATTTTTTTGCTGTGCCCTCTTTATGTCTCGTGCTTTTGTGCAGGCTGGCACTCACTTTGTAGTTCTCAGCTCAGGGCTCATCATTTCCTAAAGGTCTTAAATCAGCCCTGAAAAACACAGATTTTTTTTTTAACGCTGTCTCTATACAAATAACTAAATGCCATCCTTTCTCTGATGTGCAAAGTTGTAAAATATTTGTTTAGTATTTAATCACATAGAAATATGTGAAATTACACTAGAAATACACCTCACCCTGGTGTTTAAGGGCAGAGGCTTGTGAGATTGTGACAAGTCAATCTGATATTATAAAATTGCAAAATATCTGTGCTGAGAAAAATACAAATACTAACAGACCTTCTTTTATTGCTTATATTCTCTTCACTTTTTCTCGCTGAATCACCAGATCAGGCTTTCCTCATCACAATAGAGTTGAGCCAGCCCCAAGCCCAGCTCACCCCTCACTCCTCTTCTGCCTTAAATTCCAGCTCTAAAGAGCAGCTCTTCTCTGCTGGGGTGATCTGAACCCCACATCTGCTTAAATGGTATCCTGGGTACTCAACTCCATGACAAAAAATAAGATCCTCCTGCTTCAGTCCCTCATATTCCCCATTTTCCACTCAGTGCCCCTCCATTCCCTATATTGTAAATACTTGCTGTGGGGAAAGAAACATATTTTATTTTGTTATGTTAGAAGGGGGGAATGAAGGCAAACAGGGCTTTTTGTGTTGTTTTATTGTTGTTATTATTATTATTGAGGGAGGGTTTGTTTGTTTTTTTTTTTCAGTACAGGCAAGTTCTGACCCATAACTGTGCTCTTAGGTACTCCTGAAAATAAAAAGTACGTTTGCATCAGGTGCGCCTAAAAACCAAAAAGAAATTATATATCAGAGAGGTTTTCTGATCCTGCTCAGTGCACAAATGCCAATCAGAAGCAAATATGGGGCTGTATCTTGCAATCCATTTTGATATTTACAACAGAACATGGCATATCATTTAATTTAAATTTGCAGCATGCTCAGTGTAATTAATGCTGTGCAGTGCCTAGAAAATCGCGATTTCTTAATGTGATACAATGCCTGCATGCTGAGAGCGTTTTTTTTTAAACTACTGTATCATTTTGGAGCATTAATGGGGAGGCACTGCCATTAAACAGGAAAAAGAGCCATGCTCACTTGCTCTTTATGAAACTTCCATGCAGCTCCCCAAAATATGATGCAAAGTACAGGTTTGTTTTAAAAGAGAGGGGAGAGTCAGAGATTTAATTTTCCCTTGACACAGCATGATGCCTGAATAGCCAGATAGCTATTCCTAAATTATGTGCATTTCATTCCTAGGAGCTGTGAGCATTTTGAATGGACTGTTGTTAAATACAGTACACAAGCATAAATACTCCAGGGAACAGCAAGCTGAAATTTTGGCATGAGCAGAAATCTGATGTAGTATCTGAGCACGTAATAATAATGCATATTGATTTGTCAGGAGTGCTAAGAGAGGGGGGGTTGGTATTCTGGGATGAGAACTGGTAAACTTGGGAACATCCTGTGTGATTAGAATAAGCTGTGGTATTTGTGTGCTGCGGTTCTGGCAAGGTTCACCTTTAGACCTGGAGAGTGGTTGGGCTCTCAGTTTTGGGACTGAACCCAAGAAGCTGAATGCATGATAAAGACATTTATATATTATCCATAAGTGAAGCACGGGGAATTTGCGTCTTCACCTAGAAAATTGGGCAATGAAAAGGTAATGTGTTTGGCAAGAAGGGTTGGGACCAAAAGCCCTTCAAGGTCAGGAGTTTAACTGCCTTGACTACAATGAGCTTGGGTGTGAGTTTACCTGCTTTGTGATTGAACTGTGCAAAAAGAAGAGGAAAGAAAAAAACCCAAACCAACACTCCTCCTATTAATTCGCAAGGAATCAGTTTCTGCCAGATGTGCTCTAAAAGCTCTCTTTATAGACCTGTTGATAGCAAAGCAAATTCTTCAGGTCCTCTAAATAAATCTGCTCCTAAATATAATGCTTCAACTTCTATATTCTCATCTGACACCTGACAATTCAACCTTAAGAGTAATTGGTCCTGTCTTTGAACCTCTGCAAATGCTGCATGAGGAGAGTGGACAATTTATTGATTTAGATTGATTTTTGTAAGAAGCATCTGAGACGGATGCGGTGTCCAGTGTCACACGCTGTGTATATCACACTCCTCAGGCACATCCAAGGGGAACCAGGAGGGTTCAGGAGTATGTGGAGGTGCTCAGTGAGCACCTGCAAACCATGCTGCGTGGGACTTCTCTGAGTGATCACCTTGGAGAGAGACACCAGTTAATTGGCCAAGTTTGAATTTCAGAAGGGTGATGACACAGCTCTTCTGTTGGGAAGCCATCCCAAGCCATGCAGTATCTCCATAGGCAGGAACCAAAGGGTTATTCTAGTGCAGGTTGCCCAATGTGTTGATCTCCTCATACTGTAGCTGTTGGGAATCATTGCTTGGATATTTCCATGCCTGTAACTGTATTTTCCAGTGCTGTGGTTATTCGAGAACATTACAGGACAGGGCAGTGGATTTGTTGGGAGTGAAAGGATTTGTGAACTGGCTGTTTAGTTTGTGACAAAAAAAAAATGTCATTGATATTAATAGCTCTGAGCCCCAGAAAAGACCTAAAAAAACCCAGGGAAACAGCAGAACAAAAGAAGACAGAAACAAGATGGCACGGGGGTCTCGTCACCAGGGATGGTGATTAAGACGTGAGGCGAAGGGCTGCCCCGCTCGTGTGCGAGTTTGGCTGGGGAAATCACCCTCCTCCCGCTGCCTCGCCTCCCTCATCCATAATGAGGGAAGGACTAACTTTGCAGCACACTTTGCATTGGCACTGCATGCTAACTTCATTACTGTTTGCAACAGCCTGTGCAATCCTCAGAGGAAAGGAATAATAACAAAGAAAAAAAAATGATAATTACCAAGCGCATAGTTTTCATCTGTAATCTTCATTTCAGGATTCACTCTTCCCGATGTCAATATTTTATAATGGAAGAATGAGATATGCTAAGTTTCCGTTTGATGGAAGTAAATTCAGATTTAATATTGCCAAGGAGCTGAATTTTTAATACGGCAGAGGAGAATGCAGCCATTCCAGCCCCTGTTTGCGGCTCCTGCCGCTCCTTTGTACCGGCTCAGCGATGTTCCCATGACCAGGCGGAAAAATGGGAAGAAGCTGCTCGGAATTTCCAGTGGGGTGACAGTACTTTGTCATTTAGCTCTGTCACGATAATTGGGAGTGTCACACAATGAAGCAACATGACACACCCCTGGTAAATGAAGAGTTTTCAAAGTGATGTACAGCCCCTGTCAACTGCCAAAGCTTTTGTTTGTTCATGGAGCGAGGCAGCATTTCCAGAAGGAAAACCGCACTGGAGAGGCACACTTGGAAAGTTTGCTGTAAATTGATTTCCTCTGTGTTTTTATAAAATGGGATAGATCCTATGAACAGTAGGAGAATACCCTCTTTTATCACACACTCCAACCTGCTGAGGACTTTCCACAAACTCTTTAGGAATTTACCTCTTTTTGTTAAATTGGGTTGGATCTCATTAATAAAAGAATGGTATAATGGAAAAGAGTTTCTAAAATTATACTGTAACCTAGAATTGCAGGATTCAGCTTTCTCTGCCTGAAGAAAAAAATTCTGAAGCATTAAACTTACTTTATCAAGCATTGCACCTGACATGCTCTCATAAATTTTACATACATTTTAACTTATTTTAATATTATGCAGGCTTGGTTTAAAATATTCCCATGAAGTAACTAAAATGAAGCTGCTCAGCCATAAATTAGAGCTAAAAAAATACTTGTTCCCCCCGCCCCATCAATATTTCTTTACTTAAAATCATGTGTTGTATGTAAGTTAAATTTTCCCTTGCTGAGATACTTTGTATATCTTAATAGGAACTACCACAGGCCCAGTGAGCTGTATTTCTGTAGGGTTAAATGTACTTTCTTTGCTTTTTTTAGAAGTGTCTTGCCTAAAAGCAGATATCAGTAACCCTTTGCATGCCAAAGTGCAGCAGGGCCCACAGCTAAACATGTGGTCACATATATATATACACACACATGCATATTTATTTTATATATTTTTAAACATCTATTTTTATACTTATATATCCACACATATATATATTTACAAAATGCATATATAAAATATATAAAATACATAAAATTACTATATATATATTTATAACTATATTTTCTACATTTATAGATAGGTATTTATATCTATACATACACACATATATACATTTGTATATGTATATACACATGTATATATATATCTATATATGTATATACACACATATATATATATCATAGAATCATAGAATGGCTGGGTTGGAAGGGACCTTAAAGCCCATGCCATGGGCAGGGACACCTTCCACTAGCCCAGGTTGTTCCAAGCCCTGTCCAGCCTGGCCTTGGACACTTCCAGGGATGGGGCAGCCACAGTTTTCTCTGGGCAACTCATGCCAGTTCCTCACTATCTTCACAGTAAAGATTTTTTTCCTCATATCTAATGAAGCCATTCCCCCTTGTCCTGTCCCTCCAGGTCCTTGCAAATAGTCTCTCTCCATGTCTCTTGTGGGTTCCCTTCAGTTACTGGGAGGCCACAGTTAGGTCACCCTAAAGCCTTCTCTTTTCCAGGCTGAACAATCCCAGTTGTCTCAGCCTGTCCTTGTAGGAGAGGTGCTCCACCCCTCTTGTCATCATGGTGGCCTTCTCATGTATATTATCTAAAAATATATACATATTTTTCCAGGAGCAGCCCTGCTGGTCGGATGGCAGATGATGGCACCGACAGAGGCTTCCCAGTGTGACACCCCAAGGCTGCCCCTTCCTTGGGCCAGCGTCCTCGTCCCGCAGATACGACATCACCCACAACTCATCACAAAGCTCCGTTTGTGTCCCGAGCCCTGAACCTATTTCAAAGCCCAAGCTAAATTACACAAACACTTGCCTATAGACATAACAGGACTGTTATGAAATACTGTCAGCTTGTTGCCATTTAGCCCGAGCACACCCTGCATGTGTCTGTCAGGCCATACTTGGGCAGCTCTGCCGCGTGCGACGTGTCCCAGACACTGGGGTGATTATGTCTGAATGCTCCTTATCTGATGGGGCAGCCGACAGTGCTGCACATCTGTGCTCCGAGGCTCTGCTGCGGCGCTGCCACGCCACTATTTATTTTGCTTCTGCAAGTTAGTTTTCCTTGAGAAGCAGCAGGGGCCTTCTTCAATGAACTGAAAAATGTGTATTGTATGAAGGTCTGCAGAGGGTTTGTACCGTAGTTCAATGGGCAAACGCGAACCCAGGGGATGACATTTCATTTAAACATTTGGTTTACATCTTTACATGCCAAAAATATTAATATCCTGACTTCAGCAAACTGAATTCAGCACTTTTTCCCCCCCCCTCCCCTTAAATGAAGTAATTATAGCCAAAACACTCTGTGGGTATTTATTCTTCCTTCTCAGAGGTGGAGTTTCGCACACGAACATTTGGTTTCAGGGCTGGAATTGTCAGTAGCTGCTCACTTGACACTTTCCCGTTCGTTTGCATTGGAAACCACCAGTAGTTTCTTTTCTCGTGTTTATTGTATTACTCTCAGCCCTTTGATCGGGACATCTTGGATAGCAGCAAAGTCTAGCTTAGTGCCTGTTTGCTAGTTGGAAAAAAAAAGGTGAAGAATATGGTTTCTGTCAAAGGACCTACAAAGACAGTTAATGTAATTGAGAAGCAGAAGGGCATTTATGGAAGTGCATCTGAATGTCCTCTTCACATGTAATTGCATCAGGAATTCTACATTAACATGCAAGTGCTGTCCAAAGGGAAAAAAAAAAAGAAAAAAGCTTATTTTTAGGTAGAAGCCCTCAGTGGGCAGTAAATTACCCATAATATCCCCCAAACTAGCAATTAGCCCTGTTTGCTGACTACCTGAATTGTTTCACAGTAGTTCAGCACAGTCTTACCAGTTATCACCATACTTATAATCAGAGATTCCGTGTATGATTCCCGCAGCTCCACATACTGCCTGCCTAAGGTCAGCAGGAATAACAAATACATTTTATTTGCTTCTTTTGGCCCTTTAAAGCTGTTTTCTCAGGCTACAATATGTGAGGAAAGCTGATGCTGCTGTGCTGCTTAACTGGCAAGAATTTGAAAAGAGGAAGCCATTCGCAAGTGTAGGTGTACTTTGGTATTAGTTAATATTTATTTGTTTGTGTTATTCTGTATTTATTCCCTTATTAGCAGACAGTCCTGCCTGGAGACTGAGCTTTCTACCAATTTCTGAGGTTTGCTCTTCAGAAGTTCTAACACTGGAAGACATTTTTCAACACGAGCCTGTAACTGAGGAGTGGAAAACAGGAAAATATGGAATCAAAACCCTATGGAATTTTTTCCCTGAAGGTGGCAGAGCAGTTTTCATATCCCCAAATATGAAAAATAGTAATTCAGCTCAGAAAACAGTAGCTATATTGCCTGTTTCAGCAGTAGAAACAATCATGGGCCTCCACATGCACACAAATACAAGCACACACATCCTAACAGCAGCATTGGGCTTAAAGAAAGAAAACTAAGTAAAAATGAGACTAATAAGGCATTTGAAAAAGAATATAGAAATGTTTGGACCCTGAGCATTAAAGATATTTTTTTAAGTGCTGCACACATCTTTCTGAGTAATGCTTTAATTGACATATTATTTCTCAGGCAAAATCCCACTGAATTAACTTAGTGCCACCATTTAAACCCCATTTTCAGTGCTGGTTCTGTGTCACATTACACTGACATTACACTGACATTACACATACATTCTTGTATTCCTGTCTCTGATCTGATGGACTAGATCCGGGTAATGAAGGAGATGGAACAGGAATTCATGTTCAAAAGGAACAACTAAAGACTGGCTCTCCTTTGCAGAGGCACGCTGAGAAGCAGAGAAAACAAAGGCCAATGGTACAGAGAGGACTGTAACTAAAAGAATTACTTCCCTCTCTGTTGGGTTTTAAGCCAGGACAAGGAGGCAAGAGTCATATGACCAACTTTACAATCCCAAGAATCTCCCAAAATGGGCCCAAACTTTTGCTATTCCAGCAGTAGATCCTCAGGTAGGGAGTCCATGACTCCCAGTTAATGGCTTACTGAGGCAGTGACCAGCTTGGCACTCAAGGGGAAAAGGGAAGACTTGGTGGTGACAGTGCCAGCACACTCGTTTTTCAGAAGAAGAACTTGTTTTCCAGAAAAAAAAATAAAGACCTTTGGGTTGAATGTTGTTTCCATCCTTACTAATCAGGCCTTGACTAAGAAAAGTCCAAATAAACTGATCATAAATTAAGTCATCCCCATTGTGAGCATGAACACACATACCTGGCCAAGGCAGGCAAAAGCAGATTGATGAAACAACAAAGTTCACCTTGTTTTGTGAGCTGAAAGCTCACGCTGTTTCTTGGCAGAACAGGCATGTCAGGCCTGTAATAACCACTTGCTACCTTGCTTCAATCAGCATTGAAACCAGCACAGTATTAACATCTTGGGGAAAATCCATCTGGAAACTGCTTTCCGGGGGAAAAAAATGAAAGGGAGATAACGGAATACCACACCCCCTGATTATTTATTTGTTGATTTCACAGTAACTTTAAGGAACTGAAAATTTCTCTCCCCATCACCTGAAAATGTCCTATTTCAAACATTTTATGTCCATTCAGCTGAATTCCTGTTCAGAAACAAGTGGCAAAGAACAGCCGTTCTTCACCTGAAGGAAAACCACTTGTCTGGCAGAGGCAGAGGTCAGTATTTGCTGTTTGGTTTTACTTTGGAGGAGTTTCTGTGGGCACATCTTCCCATGCCCAGTACAGCAGGGTGGCATCACTGGGACAAAGCCAAGCTGGCAGAGCTGGGCAGAGCATCCCCAAGCTGGGATTCAGAGCAACCCCACTGACTTCGATGTGGGCATCTGTTGCACTGACACCTCAGGGGGTTGAGGTTGGAACACAAGAGCTGAACTTTAAAAATACTTCCAAAAATGTTACTTTTTGCTGAAAAGATAATACTCAAATTGACTTTTCCTTTTGCCTCCTGATGGCCTGGTATGAATATACACTTGGCATTATTCTGCATCACTTCTTCTTTCTGTTGGATCAACTAACATGATGATAGTTTCAGGATGCAGAGGATACTTATGTTTGGCATTAAAAAAATTACATTATGTAAATCCTGTTGTTGGAAAATTAATACAAAGTCATCTGGGTAAGTGAGCCAAAGAAAGCCTTTCCTTTATATTTTTCTGTGATTTTTTTTTCCTCTTTTTCCTGAAGCATTGCTGAAGTTTGAAGACAGTAGTGAAGACGCACAGCACACATGCTCTAAAATGTATCTACCCTATGTGAATGTACCCTGTACTGCTGGTGCAGCTTGGAAGCTCACTGGGCACGTTTTGGAGACTTTTAGCATCTCCAATATATTTCTGGAAAGGAAGCAAACAATCCAGGGCCTAGACACTGGACTTTTAAATTAACAAAATATGTATTGCTTACTCTGAAAAACACTTTGCCAAAAAAACTGGGCTAAGGAGATGTCATTTGGCACTGGATTAATTTTAGATGAAGTTTTAGGACCAGCCTAGGTTGTAAGTTTGTATTCAATGGTGTTTAAAAGTAATGCCCTGGCCAGTAACTGCTGGGATCAGGCTCTGCCAAATTTCTGTCACCTTGGGCTTCATTAGCATTTGAAAACAGACCTCTCTTGGCTTTGTGTCTCACTGAAAAACAAACCACCGGGGCTGGTCCGCAGCCCTCTCGTTTGGCCAGGGGTGTAGAGCTGCCTCATGCGCTCAACTTTAATTTTAAAGTTCATTTTTTCACTGCAGCTCTTCAAAAGTTACCAGAGTGAAGGCTCCTGTTTACAACGGTGAAGAGTAACTCACGTAAACTCCTAAAGGACCCACAAGCATTGGCTGACTCACTATTTAGCAGAATGAGTAAATATTTTGTAATTAAGTCCTTAATTAAAATTGTGGTTTTGATAAGAATAAAATCCTGCACTGCCATATGAAATATTTCCTGTGCACTTAAGGGGACCGTGGGTTGCAATCACTATCTCCAGCCATTCTAAGTGAGTGAACCAGACCACTTAAAATATTTGCAGAAAGAAATTCTGAATGAATAACACAGATAACTAAAATGTCATTTTTCTTAAATGAAGAAACTTCCCTATGTCATATCCATTCAATCAGGGAAAAGAAACAGCCCCACATAACCAGTCTGTGTGCACAGCCCAAACACCATGTTTTACCTTTGAATTTGCTACAGAGGCAGGAAAAATTATCCTCCCTCCACAAATTATTTTGGGAATAAACAACATCTAATAGAAAAAAAAAATTAAAAATCATAGTCTGTTCACAGACAATGTGAAAGGGATGTGATATTTGTGAAGGTACTAATTTGTAAAGAAATTATTCCTTGTTTTGGTTGGCAAAAGTCTTTGAACACAAATTCTATTAAGGGCAGTAAGAGTCCAGGATAGATAGAAAAGAGCAAGGCAGTCAAACTTTCGGGAATACAATCAGGGAAGTCCAGACCATGCTGGGATCTAGTCAGCACTCGTGAAAAGAGCACTGCAAATGTTTATTTACTTTTTGTATTTATTGGCTTCTTAAATTAAAGAACTGATATCATTTAAAAGCCCTGACTGTGTTGTGCTTTCCCCTTCCTTCCAGGAAGAATGAGCATCAGGTAACGGGATACAAGTGGAAAACTCTCTGTGATGCCCATGGATATCAGTACAAACCCCTTCTTTCAATGCCAAGGTTATGGGTAAGGTTTTACAACAGCATCATTTCATAAGGCTAAAGTACCTTTAATTTTTTTCAAGCCACACAATGATTAATACATGTAATTTTGAAATTTCTGAATCACACATCAGTGAAAATCCATGCTAATCCATGTTAAACTCCAAGTTCAGTGGAGTAACACTAGGAGTAAAATGGCTTCAGCTGGGATCAGAGACAGAGTGCATTTCAATTGAGGCTCCATGAAGGATTTTTAGACTCATCCCAGTTTTATATACCCAAAGCAGCTTGCTTCCTTGGCTTGCATGAGGAGGATTTCATCTCCTTTGGAATTCTGGGGTAAACTGTCCTTGTACAAAATTTGTTCAGGGTCAAGTTTTAGGCAGTATTTTGTGCTGCAATAACCACACCATGACAGACAACCTTTTCATCAGATAAGAAAAAAAATCCTCTTCTTCAGGTCAGTACAAGAAAGGAAAATGACAGAGCTATAAATACAGAGCCCAGAGGTGCAAAATCTCCTGCATTAGATGCGGTCATTGGCCACATTTAAATTTTTTCCCAAACATTTCAGGTGTTATGGCAGAGAAGCAAATGTACACATGGGGGAATATCTGCAATGAAAGCAACTTCATTGTTAAATGAGCCTCATAATTTCTGTGCATATTTTTTCAGACAATTATTTAAAATATATATAACTGATTAGAGGGAACTGAGTTGGGTAAATCAGGTACACGTGCAACCTCAGGTTCAGAGGTGGGAGAAGCTGGGAACTGAGGGAAAAGGCTGCCTGACCACATTTCCATTTGCCAGGTATGGGCCAAGGAGACTCAGTGGGGCTAAAGGAAGATTTTCAGATGACAATTGGAACATTTTAATCTGTGATACTAAAAGGAAAGCCCTGGTCACCAAGCAACTGAAGTTAGACATATAAATTATGCAACTGATTTCCAGAGGTGTGCAAATACACTACAGTGCCCAGTAAAGTCAGAGAGAGGTGAAGGGGGGAAGGAAAAAAGATAAAAAACCCCCACTTGATGGTCTCAGGAGTGTAAGACAAAGTTGAATCACTTAAGTAGTGATATTTTAAATCTCGTCTCCAAGGGTGCCTTGGACAAGCCTTGCTGTGAGAGTGGTGAGGTCTATTGTGATGGTTGGGTGCAAAAATTGTAAATGGCTGTCAGAAAGTGCCATCTGCATTGGTTAAAAAAATAACCTGTACCCACACTCAGAAATTACAAGGATTTGCCAAAGGTTACCATTGGCCAGAAAGAGTTTTGAGACTCTCTCTTTACAGCTGTGCTTAAAGCCAGAGATTTGTTTGCGTGAATGTAAGTGGCAAGTCTCTGGAGACTCATCCAGCACTGGCTTAAATGAAGCCATGCTCAGGTCAGTGCAGGCAGAAGGATGCTCCTGATAAGGTAAGAAAGGAATGGATGTGAAATGGGAGGGGAGGTACCAGTGATTCATTGCTAATCTGAAGAGTTTGCTTACTCACCTTGCCAAAAACCCAACACCAAGTGGCACAAAATTTTGAAAAAGAAATAAAATTAAAAGATACTCTTCTCCTAATGAAAATGAACTCATTAAAATTAACTCATTGGTTATTTTTTTCAACTCAAGAAACAAAATTACTTAAAAACTTTTACTTCTTTTTTTTTGAGCATCACTTTGGAGTTGTACTTTTTGAGGGGTTGGAACTAGATGATCTTCAAGGTCTCCCTCCAACCCAAGCTATTCTATGATTCTGTGAAGACAAGTTCTCAGTTTGGCAGTTTCCCAAGCCCTTCACTCTGGGGGGGTTCTCTAGGGCTTTCCTCAGGCATCCTGTGCTAAATGAGCTTCCAGGTTTCAGTGAAAAAATGGCACCACTACAATTTTAAGATGACAGCACTATGGCAAACCAGTTGTCATCTGCTTGAGTTACCAGCCCAAGAGGTAGATTTAGAGTATTATGAAAATATATGCATTTTGAAGTGCTGTGAATTATACCAAATAATCCTGAATATCTCTTTTGCTATATTAATGAATCAAAGCAGAGCTTTCCACATTATCTGCAATCACCATGGAGAAAATGGGTTTCAGTGTACATAGTTTCTGTATAAATAGTGCATCTCCAGCACATTCTGTAAGTAAGTAGTGTCTGATTGCATAATAATAACAATAATAAAGAGAGAGTTGTCCAGCGTGCACATGGGCCAATTAAAGGATCAAGTGCACGAGGCTGCAGCATTCCTGGCAGGGGAGCCAGGGTGCCTGGCTTACCAGTGCCCTCCCCTCCATGCCTGAGCCTCCCACCAGCCCTCTGGCCGCAAACCATGGAGCCTGGAGACCTTTTTCCCTGAATCCTTGCATGGAAGCAGGTCATGGGGACAGCACAGCATCCAGAGTTTTAGAGGCTCCTGGCAGAAACCATGGGAAACGTGCCTGCAGCACGAAGGCACAGCTTACTGGTTTGGGTGAAGCTTCAGCACTTGAGCAATTCCCAGTGTGCCTCACAGCTTTGCTGGGCAGGATTTTCTCTGGCTGGAGGGACCAGACCCAAGCTCCCCTGCGTGCCATAGGTATACTTGAGAATTCACGGAAAGCTGGAGGAATGTACTTTATGGGGTGGCTGGATCATATGTTTATGGCCTGAAATAGGAGATCCCAACCCAAACCACTTTGTTGGTTTCTAATGGTGAGAAGCAGAATATGAACATCATATAAATTCATGCTGGGGAGTGGATATGAAAAGAGAATGTGGGCAAAACCTGGGACAACCCACGGCCTCGGTAGCTGCCTTGCCATTAATTATGGCTAATGGGCTAATAAACACCTTCACATTTAATGCACTGCACATCCAGCCTGTGGAAACTCCCTTACAGAGATGACCCAGAAGAATTAGACAAATTAAACCCCAGGATGGTGGAATTATGCATTGCTAACAACATTGGCATAAAAGTAGTAGAGGACCGAGTGCTCTGGATTCCTGCAGACAATCATTTACCACCCAAAAGGAACTTCTGACCATTGATAAGATTCATAAAATACTTTTTGCACCCTCTGCACAGGAGAAGTGGGTGGTCACAACTATTCTGGTGTGGGTGGAAGGGCTCTTCCACGTGAGTGCTGGAGTGGGCCAGGTGGCTGGAAACACAACACCTGGGCTGTGATTTCCCGGGCACATCCCAGCCTAGACACACGCATACTAATGCACTGCTCCGGCGGCCCTTTCCAGAGGATAATTGCATGCACTGCCCCGAGCGTAACGGGCCACTTCAGGGAATGAGTCTGCTCCTCAAGAAACAGCCACTTACTCCCCTCTCAGCTCTGCAGAAGGGCAAATGTCCCTGGTTCAGGCCTTGGAAATAATGAGGTAAAATGGACTTGGCACCGTTAAAACCTCCCCAAAGACAGGCCGGGATATTTGAATATCTGATTGGGAAAAACCTATGGGCAAACACAGCCTGCCTGGACAGGCCCCCTCCTCCCACAGAGCCATGGAAAAGGCTCCCAGGTCACAGAAGGAGAACTGGGAATTAAACATCAAGTAGCCTGCAGGGATGCTAGAAAAAAAACATGAGCCAAAATGCAGCTGAAGACACTGAAAAGGGGGTTCTGCAGGCAGTTTGCAGCGCTGCACTTGGAGACCACGGTTTTCCTTGTTCTCCCAACAAAACCAGGCCAACAGTAGGACAACCAGGCCCACCATGCTGGCTTTCCCAAACGGTGGAGCATCCGGGCACTGCTGGGAAAACAGGCAGCTCTTTATTTTGGAATCCTAAATACAGAACCAGTGCCCAACTTCAGATAATCTGAATTTTATTGTCCCTACAAAGACCTTCCAAAACACAAATGATCACCGTGAAACCAGGGGTTGCTTTTTATGTTTTAGCCTAACTTACTGAATCCAGACTCAAAAGTTTCTCAGTACCCTTGCCATTAATTAAAAATAAAAAAATACATCTTGTGACCCTTTTCTAAGGAAAAACAGAGCGGATGTAGCTCTGCTGCCCTGGACACACTTACATTTAACTTGGTTCACTCCCAAAGGCCACGATCCAACCAGATACTCAAACACCTGTATAACTTAAATACACTTTTAAGTACTGCTCTGAACTTTGGTAAAAGTAGGGAAAATAAATTCTGTTAAACACCACTTTATTTCTTTCAAATCTGATTTTTTTGAGAATCTTGACTGCAATGCATCATGTAAAGTATTTCCTTCCTCTTGCAGAATATTTTAATATTAAGCCAGATATTTTTATATTTCCACAAATTAAATGCACCATGGCTGAAGGTTTGACAGAAGCTCTAATTTGCACATAAAAAGGTAGAATGATTTCAGTTTTGACAGCACAAGCTTTTGATTTGTTAATAAAGGCAATTCTTTCTCAATTGTGAACATACTCCCCAAATAAGACAATGTAGTTTGTAGCAAATAAAAAAAACCAACATCTTCCTGGCATGGAGACTAAACTTTTGATCCAAAGTTATTACAGAAATTCAGATTTTATAAAAATAAAAGAATGAAACTTTTGCATTCAAGATTTAGTAGCAACAGAGCAGGAACCAGAGGAAGAGATGTTCCTGCCACATTCTCTGTACCTGTTGTTAGTAACCTACCTTCAACATATTTGGATAAAGTTCATTGCGAGAAAGTACCTGTGAAAGTTGAAGTAGTTTTGGAGGGTGGGGGTGAGAAAGCCATGTGGAAATAGTTTTGGTAAAAATTAACACAGATTTTCCTGCGATGTTCCAATCAAACTGCAATCTAAGAACACCAGGATTTCAGACTCTCGTGATGAAACTCAAGTTTATAAACCAAGATACAACCAAGGCCAAAGCCAAGGCCAATTTACAAGAGGCCAAGCCTTCAGAGTGACCCTCGGAGCCCATGTCAGAGCTCTCCTTTTCCCCTTAGAGACCACAGAGGAGGAGAGAGCACAGAGCTCCAAAACACTCTGGGCAGAGCCAGCTTAAGCATGGAAAAAAAAATAAAATTTGGATTTCTGATCTCAGATCAAATTATTCTAAACTTTT